ATGAACTCTGTCTAAGTACTGAGCTGTGTTACAACTATCATGTATATTTAGAAGTGCTTGTTACAACATAGGAACTTCACACTATACACTAAAGGTGTCCTGGATTTGTACCTCCACATGATTACTGGTGTGTATATGCGCTTGTGTTTGTGCGTGTTACTATTCAGCGCTTTCTCAGTTATGCAGCCATTCACACATCATTTAAGATGCCATCAAGAAGCACTGAGGAACACGGTGTTCCAAATCTCATGTACCCACGCCACTAAATCCCACATAAAAAATACAAATACTCCTAGAACAGCTTGATACATTGAAGGAAACATTATGAACTTCTTAATGACCAATCAAAAGCACACAAGAAACACACTGTACTCTGACCAGAAGTAAACTAAACTGAAAGTAAACGGTCAGTGAGTCTGCATCTTCAGGTGATATTTCTATAATCTACAGGCATTTCTACAAAACAACACAGCCATCTGTTCTTAAAAATAACCCACAAAGACTAAAAATACACTCTGACGTACAAAGAAAACAGCCTTTCTCTAAGGCAACGCAAATAGGCTTATAATAATCCTACTTGGAAATGCTATAATGCAAAGCCACAATATTTTGACATGCTCAAGCCACATATATACAAAATCCACATTAATCGTGCAAGCAGCGAAGCATACTTGTGCAAAATCTAGTAACCAAAAACTTTCTCGAAAAGTGATGGATGTGCTTTTAAAAATTTAGCGCAGCAGATTGGAAAATGGAGCATGAAACTAAGATGAAGCAAAATCATGAGAAATGCCATGTTGAGCTGCCTATGAATGAAACATTGATTAGGGCTTATTGAAATTTAATCACAGGAGAAGCAGATCTCATTGGACTGCTATTAGAAGTGGTTTCGTCAGGCCAAATGAGCCCATCGCTGGAGGGGAAGACCCTGCTGCCAGATGGCACGGGCCACACGACAGCTTTTTTAGCGGCTCGCAAACACATTCTCACAAAAGAGAGCGAGTGAAAAGCGGGAGGCTGTGTGGTCGCTATAATTAGCGTACTCTTCGTCAGCTGACCTGAGAGGCCTGTGTTGTGCTTTTCTCTATTGAAAGGAATCAGTATTTGCTGATTTTAAGCAGTTTTTGCTCATGTAGGTAGATCTGATAAAATGCTTGAGAATGCAGCTGCTGTCTACAGTAGTTTAATTTCTCAGTTCGATAATTGAGACAAATAGTTCAGTCAACTTTTTGAGATTGACATGATTTACACAGTCAAGTAGGCATGGGACGATAACCATTTTTAAGATTTACAGTGGCTTAGAAAAGTCAAGGTTTTAAATCTGTTAGAATTTTCTGTTTATATTGTGTCTAAAGTATATGTAAGGTTTTTTTTATATGTTTTTAACTGTGTTGTTAAGAAATCTGTGTTTTTGAAACAAATGGAGTGAGCAGAAGTCAATGATTTAACAATTTAGCCTGACATGTTTACTGTTCCAAAATATTATAAATGTTTCCTAAAATAAAATATATTGTATTTAATGGTGGGGAAAATAGTTTTTTTTAACCATTCATTCATTTATTTTATTTTCAGCTTAGTCCCTTTATTAATCTGGGGTCACCACAGCAGAATGAACCGCCAACTTATCCCGCACGTTTTTACTTCCAGCCTCAACCCACCTCTGGGAAACATCCACACACACTTATTCACACACACACTCGTACACCACGGACAATTTAGCCAACCCAATTCACCTGTACCGCATGTCTTTGGACTGTGTGGGAAACGAGCACCCGGAGGAAACCCACGCGAACGCAGGGAGAACATGCAAAATCCACACAGAAACACCAACTGACACAGCCGAGGCTTGAACCAGCGACCTTCTTGCTGTGAAGCGACAGCACTACCTACTGCGCCACTGCATCGCCTTTTTAACCAGACAGTTAAAAAGAACTTGTTTTACAGCAGTATCACAATAGCGTTATACAGCGAAATCGTAATATCTTTATCCATGGTTAGTTATCATAGCATCAGAATCTTACTCCGGCCCATGCCTACTCTCATGTTGTTCATTGTCGGCATGAATTTAGGCAGACTGTTATTTTGCATTTGTTTGCAGATGTCAAAATAATATGTCTTATTAAAGCAGTGATAAAAGCAGGCATTACATTTTTTGCTTATAAATTGCTAAAGAAAATAATTGCAATGAAATCTGAACGAAACGAAACTAAACACATTTTGAAGTAGAAAAACTGAAATGGAATAATTTTGTAAAACTGTCAAAGGTTGTGTTTCATTTACAATATAAAAAACATTGAATGTTAAGACGTTGTATTATTTAAATAAGGGGACATGGTGGAGCAGTGGGTAGCACTGTCGCCTCACAGCAAGAAGGTCGCTGGTTTGAGGGCTCAGTTGGCATTTCTGTGTGGAGTTTGCATGTTCTCATCGTATTCATGTGGGTTTCCTCTGGGTGCTCCGGTTTCCCCCGCAGTCCAAAGACATGTGCTGTAGGTGAATTGGGTAAGCTAAATTATCCATAATGTATATCCTGGTCCTCCAAGTTAGGGCTTGAGCGTTGGGCTAACCCACCTCATCAGGGCTGGGACAGCAGGCCAGAATCATGGTGGCAGGCAAGATAGACCATCAGACCACCGGGAAATGTCATGGTGCTCCCTATGGCCAGTCCATCACTGCACCTCATAAAAACTAGATGTTACAAAACACTAATATGGTGCGGCTAAATATCAACTTCGATATAAATGGCCCAGGGAGTAAGCAAATAAGTTTATTTCAATATGCAAATATTCCAATTTTATGACTTGTTATGGACCAGTTAGTACAAATAATGATTGGCATCTTTGACATCAAATTTGACATAATGGCATATTTAAACATGCAAAAGTAAATATGATTTCAGACATTCATCTAGATAACTTTCTATTAATAAATGACAAAATGTGGTAATTCTTTAATGTTGAATTTAGGATTATAAAAAGTATTTTTGCTTATAATATAAGATTATTAAAAAAAAAGTATACAGTATACATGTCATACAATTTTATAGTGTTTAATTATTCTAGCCACCACCATTAACTTTAATTAAATAGAAAATAGCAGCATGAACATTCTGCTGAACATCTCCCTTTTGACTTGCATGAAGAAAAATCACAGACTTTGAAAATACATTAAAATAAGTAAACGATGAACAAAGTCCCTGTTTGAACTGTTTGTTTAACTCCATTTAAACATCCCTCAGTGCCAATTTCATCACTTGAAGTGTGAACAAGGAAGATGAAGGAGGTGGAAACTCCACAGAAAATGCTCTGACATGGAAAACTCTCTGGAGCACAACCACAAACCAATCAAAAAGCAGTCAACGCTACGGGAAACAGGATGAATTTGCCAAAGTTTGCTCAAACCTGTCGTGCAGCACTGGTCATTAGTGGCAGGAAGTGTCCTGGCCTACGCAGCATATTAAAGTGGTCACATTCAAGGGAAGTGACTCAGTGATTTGGTCACTTGAGCCACACCTACAGAGTGGAGCCAGATCTCGGCCTGAGGCTCAACAACAGATAGTGACGTGTGCTCTTAAACAGAGAACAACTTCCGGATGGACCAAAAATGAATATTTGTGCCAATTTCATAGTACAAATTAAAACAATTCAACTCTAGACATTACCAAACAATTTATAATAGGTCATTTTTAATGTTAACCATCCTATTGGCTATCCAAATGACTCATTTTTCAGTGCTATGTTAAAATATATCATTACTGAAGCTGTAGTCTTTGGTGATTCATAAAATGAAATCCAGCAGTTTTGAGAGTCATTATGAACACATACAGACAAAACAAAACTAATACATGTGGATTGTGATAGCATTGCTGTATTTTCAAGCAAAACAGTCAGTCTGTGCAATAAACTAGACATTATTTACATTTAGGATATGCACCAGATTGTTGTGAATGTGCTCAGAAGCATTTGCTGTGAATTAATAGAAAACAATATTAAATCGCATACAATCAATGTCATCAGGATGTACTGGGATTGGTCCAAATTTATTTTTATAAGTGGCATTTACTGTACTTATTGTGGTCATTTTGTATATTATGATACTTATTTTGCTATTGAGGTGAAATATGGGTAAGGTTAGGGATGTTTCGATAGTACAAGTAAGTGGGTTAAGTGTTTTTATACATGTAAAAACAGAAATTAACTACAGATGTAACAACAAGCAGACAATTCATTAAATATGTAATACAATGTAAAAACATAAATGTATATAATATGTGCATTGTAACAAATTATTAGTTTATATGTAAGTACATAGTAGTTAATACCGCTTCATATAAAGTGGGGCCTATTTTAGTGCTCCTGTATATGATTTTTTTGACTCTCAAAGTACAATTGACTTGCACTTTATGAGGACCAAGGCTATATATTATGACTAAATATATTCTCAAATGCTTTGCTTAAGAAAAGAAGTTATTTTCTGAATTTTCTCTTTAACACAAGAGTTGGCAATGCATGAAATTAAAGCTCAATGCTCTCCCACATCTGACCACGCAGCTATAAAAGTATCAAGCCTGTGGGTCATTGGTAATGGATTAAAATCAGGACATGATGTTTTGTACACAAAAGTGTAACAAAAGGACAAAGAAATACAGCCCAGAGCAATAAACGCAAGTACAGACACGAATAATATACATTTTGAGAGACATCAACAAGATGTCTGCAAGGACTTTACATAATGTGCCAAGACTTGTTTACAATACGATAGCGTAGGAATGTACACTAGAAACCATTCATTCATTCATTGCCAAATGTATGAAACTAGAAACTCTGCATATATAAGGTAAATATATTAATGAAATACGCTGTTTGGTATTTTGACCATTCAAATAAATAACCTTAAATTAAACAAAAAGCGACTTAAACTCGCTTTGTTTATAATTGTAACGTAGTTTGCCATGCTGTGTCTACAGCCCTCAAAAAACAGACGAAAACAAAAACACTCACCGCTCGCTGTGGAGACAGAAACAGCCAGAAAACACGCCGCAAGAAGTGGGAAACTAGCAAACAAGCGTGATAAAGTTCTCATTGTGTCGAAATGTAGTTCTTCAATGAACTTCTCGTGGGTCTCAAGAGTCGTTCGGTGTGATTCCGTTTCGCCGTTATGACTACAGGCAAGATTAGAGGCGAGAGGGACAATATGTGCGCTCCCACGTGTATCTCTGCTTCCAGCCAATTACGTGCTGCTTTTAAATACAGCCCCGCCTCTGGCCACGCCTCTCTCGGGTTGTTATTAGTGTGAATAACGGTGTGCTGCTAGATTGACTTGATAGTGTAAACAAAACAGCTCGGCTGGTTTACAAAACGGGAAAACATTTGGTGGGTTCAGGCATTTTCCCATGTTTAAAGGTGGAGTCTAGCGAAAAGCGGCAAATATTTGCTTAACCTTAAGCCGTTGTAGACCTGTGAAAACAATTATTGTGAAATTAATTAACTTATTACAAATGGTAACAAATGGTTATTGAAAGGCTAGCCCAAATCACGAAAAATAACCATTAGGGCTATTTATATATACACATGCGAATAACGAAAAAGGAAAGAAAGAAAGAAAGAAAGAAAGAAAGAAAGAAAGAAACTTAAAAATAACTAGATAATGGGCAGTGTTGTAAAGTAACAAATTACAAATATTCAAACTACTGTAATTGAGTATTTTTTCTCATGGATTGTAATTTACTAGTATTAAACATGTGTACTTTTATTTTCCCTTGAGTACATTTTTAGTGTTGTATCGGTACTTTTGCTTCATTATTTTCCTTCAACCTGCAGTCACAACTCTACTTTATTCTTGTTTATGGGAATTGGCTAGATAGAAAAATCAGTCCTGTGATTCCCATCCAATCAAATCACACATAGAATAACAACCTAAAGACATAGGCACTTTATAAAAGCAGCAAAGTGTTTGGAAGCACTAAAAATGTCCGAATTTTTTACACGAACTAAATCTGAGATTGTTTAGACACTGATGAAAAGATTTAAGATGTTTACTGTATGATTACACTAAAACATGGTTAAATGACCTTTTCATTACAGAATGTTAAATTTACACATGCCTGCACAAATTGCATCAGCTGTTCACATGGTAATACTCACTAGTCTTGAGAACTTTTAAAAGGGCACCTTACGCACACTTTGCGTAATAATTACAACAGATACTTTTACTGTACTTTAACTACATTTTTGAGCAAGTAATAGTAGTTTTACATGAGCATGATTGTACTTTACTCTTTCCACCACTGATAATAGGTTTCTCCCACAAATGTCATTTCTACATCTGCAGCATTCTGGAACAGAAAAAAAGAACAAAAAAAAAAATAATAATAATAAAAATAATAATAATAAAAAGCCAAACGTTAACCAAAAACATCGTGGGAGCATTTACACTTTTTGAGAAAATGTGATGGAAAATTACGTAAAATCTGCTACCAATTGCTATTATTACATCTTGCATACTGTATAACTCTAAAGTCATCTTTTGAGCATTCTTTTGTGATTAAAAGACTAATAACAATTCAGAAATATAAAAGATAACAGGCTAATAAAAATGTCAAATATTTTCAAAAATATTTATCATGTTGTTGCCAATAGCCAAGTGGTACTGTGTGTTGACGTGTTTGCGCCGACCTGAGTTTGATTCCTGGCTTGAGGTTCTTTCCTGATCCTTCCTGTCTCTGCTCTCAATGCTTCCTGTCTGAAATCTCTACTGTCCTATCAAAATAAAGGTGAAAAAAAACCTAATATATATATATATATATATATATATATATATATATATATATATATATATATATATATATATATATATATATATATATATATATATATTCATTCATTTTCTTGTCAGCTTAGTCCCTTTATTAATCCAGGGTCGCCACAGTGGAATGAACCGCCAACTTATCCAGCAAGTTTTTACACAGCAGATGCCCTTCCAGCCGCAACCCATGCAACCCATGGCGGAAACCAGAGCACCCAGAGGAAACCCACACGCAGGCAGGGAGAACATGCAAACTCCACACAGAAACGCCAACTGAGCCGAGGTTCGAACCAGCGACCCAGCGACCTTCTTGCTGTGAGGCGACAGCACTACCTACTCAAAACCTATGACTTACTTTTTAAGACAAAATTCAACATTTATAAATATTTGGGAATGTTTAGAAAACATTGCTGCATTTGTTTTTAAACATATTTTCCTGAATGCAAGTAACATTTCTGGTTCCCTAAAAGACCTTTCCTTCAGTGACTTTAAAAAAATGTAAAAAAAAATTTGTAAAAAAAGTTCAATTGTAACAATTTCTTTTTGTGTATGTAATGGATGTTAAATGTTCTTCATGGAATCATATATGCTAATACAGAACCATTAAGGATTCCTTTTAGTTGTAGAATGAGAATTCTACAACTAAAAGTTATGACAAAGATCAACAAAGAAAGTTCCTAGTTCTCAAAATACCACACATTAATCATGAAACATCATCAGAACATTATAAAATGTCACAGAAAATAACAAAAAAGTTAGTCACCAATCACTCTCGTCTTGTTCTCATACAATTGACAGTGAATTTCAGATACACTGTATAAAAACAGGATCTTCACATCTTCTTTTAAAGATAAAAACATTTTTGGGTGTTTTTTGATGTTAAAAACATTTATTTTAACAGCCTGACACTGTGCTGTTAAATTCTGCAACTTAAAATAAAAAGCTTTGCTTTATAACAATGGAAAACACAATGGGCCTAACCATTACTCTGATAAAGCAATGCAGCATTCATGCAAAAGCAGTAATTGAGATTTATAAGGTTAAGATAGTGGGTGTGCTGCTCTGGCAGAAATGCATTTATGCGGGTCGATGCAAAGTGTGGGTGTTGGTCAGCTGCTGATTATTTGTTATGTTTTATGCTGAAAACACACTTTTCTTTTGCCTTTGAGTATCCAAGACAATGTATATAAAAATCACAAATGATTTAATATTAAATAACTTTACAGGTCTTCCCAAAGTCAAAACGTTTAAGGAGACCTATTGCCCATGCACCACTGGACTTCACTTGATGCAAAATAAAATATAGTCTGTCTTGGCTCTGTGGCAGGGCCTTTAAGAGCTCGTAGGACTAAATGCTCGGTCACTTTAGCCAGACTCACTTGATTCGATTGAATATAAAGCGAGTTTGATTTTTTCCTCCAGCGCAGCCACTAATCTCTAATACCATAATGGATGTCGACTGTGGAGAAATCACGGAGCTGGATTTAAAACATCAGGCCTCACAGAATATCCATCACATTTAGCGTCACTTACTGAGCTTCATTTGTGGCACTTACGGGAAATAATGCAATCAATTATAATGCTGAATTGAATCAGCTGTGCATTACAAGGTGCATTTAGCTGTTTAATTGCTTTATTGAGTCCTGGAGATGTTCTTGGACGCCTGATCCACTGCTGTTCTCACTTTTGCATCTGGTTTCTCCATTTCTGTGAATTTCTGAGAACAAATCGCTCTGACGAAGGCACTTGTAATACATGGAGACTGTAAACAACCGGTTTTAGACTCATCCTGCTGGGTGTCGAGGTCTATTCTGCCATCTTGTGGCAACTTTTAATTAGCAGAGTGTTCATTTAATAATTGAAATTGAAAGCTGTGATTCTGGGAAGAAGAAGAATATATATCACACACACACACACACACACACACACACATATATATGAATATATATATATATATATATATATATATATATATATATATATATATATATATATATATATATATATATATTACTACTTGCTATAGGCTATACATTAATGCTTTTTAAGGAAAATCTGTATTTTCATTATTTTAAAGATTTTTTTTGTTTCTTTGTTTACTTGCACATGTTTTCTATTTTTTGTCTTTAAGCATTTTGCTTCAATCTGGAAGATACAGTATGTTAAAATAAGTATTTAGTAAAAACTTAAAATAGAATCAGTGTGTATGTGTGTATGAATATGTAATTTAATTTTTAAAAAACTATTATTTGGAAACAATGTTTTACAACATATTTACAACTAAATCATGCAATAAAGACTTATAGAACTGAAAATGTTTTTCTTTCATTAGGTTAAACACAATTCATTCATTCATTCATTTTCTTTTCGGCCTAGTCCCTTTATTAATCAGGTGTCCCCACAGTGGAATGAACCGCCAACTTTCCAGCATATGTTTTACCCAACGCTTGGAAACACCCATACACATTTATTCACACACATATACTACGGACGATTTATTTATTTAATTTACCTATAGCACATGTCTTTGGACTGTGGGGGAAACCGAAGTACCAAGAGGAAACCCACGCGAAAACAGGGAGAACATGCTAACTCCACACTGAAATGCCAACTTGAACCGGCAACCCTCTTGCCTCAAGCTACCCACTGCACCATCGCAATGCCATAAAGACATTTAGAAGAATTTAATTAAACTAAATGTAAATTTAGCATTTTCTTCTGTATAGCTATTTTAGAAATGACTTTTGAAATGTATTTATTTACAACCAAAATGTGCCACAAAAATGTTTAAAGACATACCATCATTCATTCATTCAGTTTTTCTGTATTTTGTGATTCATGGTTTTTCCCCACTTATTTAGGTTTTTGAATTGCATTATTGGGTTTTTCTTATGTGAAAAGTGACATTTATTAACATTTTTAATAGTTGAAGTGATATATTTTCTGGGTTGGTGTTGTATATCATGCTGCAAAAACCTGGTAATAAGCTGCCAGAACATTTTACAGTTATTTTACAGACTTATTTCTCTATATATTATTTCTTAAACAATATCTTGTCTCAAAGTACTAAAATGTCAACAAAAGTACCTTTTTTAAACTGCAGAGTTGAATTTTCAACATCAAAAGTCGACAAAGCATAACTCAACACTCCATAATGTTAGGCATTCCAACATTTAGGGAATCTCGAAAATGAGATGGTTCATCTCAAGGGGCTATCCAATTTAATAAATAAAATCAAATTCAATAATGCAATTCAAAACCATAAATTAATGGAAACTTCAAAATACAGAAACTGTTAATTAACAAATATTTTTTTAGTGTATGCGATTCTAAATGG